CAGCTCTGAAGCATATACCCACACACATCCTTAAAAAGGAAAAATAAATCTTGGTTTGTCTGGTTTGGTTTTTTCAAGACAGGGTTTTTCCATATGGCCCTAGCTGTCCTGGAGCTCCCTCAGTAGACCAGGCTAGCCTCAAACTCCCAGAGATCCACCCACCTCTGCCTCCCAAGTGCAGGGATTAAAGGAAAGGAGGAGGGAGAGAACAGACAGATACTGGAGTCTCACAACACTGCTCATCGAAGGCTGAAGTGAACTCCTGCCTGGGACTTTTAGGGCATTTGTTGTAACGTGCAACGATCTTAGTTACTGATACGCATCTGCACACTACCCAAAAAAATACAACCAGCTCTTCAGCTATGGTTCACTCCTATACAGCCCAACCCAAACACAGGAGTCTAGAGCCTGCTATGCAGTTGAGGATGACCTTGAATTCATCCCTCTTCTCCACCTCTGGAGAGCACACCGAGTGTACGCAGTGTGGGGGCTCAAACATGGGTTCTGTGTGTAATTCTAGGCAAGCACTCAGAGCTACATCCCCAACGCCAACTGGACATCATTCAATAAACACCTAGAAACACACATTGTCACAGAAAACACAGGTTCCTGACTAGTCTTTCAAACGACTCCATAATTCAAGGCAGAAAATGATGTATGTGAAAACCTGTGGTGAAGGAAAATCCTGTCTGTGAACAGGTGACCCACGGACACACCGACTTCATTTGCAGGAAGGGCTCTAACGAGCAGCAGCAGACAAAGGTGCAGAGGCAGCCCCTATCCTTACCATTTCAGCATAATCCACCTGCTCTTGTTCACTGTACAGTTCTGGGGGCAGGTTGTAAATCCGTAGGACATTATCAGCACTATTGGTCAAGATACAGGAACCGTCAGGGGCCCTAAAAATACAGGAAAATTAGAAATCCAGACAGAACTGCGATTTCCAGTTGTAGCACTAGGGCTATGGCTAGCCTTTGCGTCCTTGAGAAGACATCAGCTCTAGGGAAACAAGCTCGTGCAGAGAATGGTGGCATACATCTGTAACCCCAGCTACTAGAGAGGCTGAGGCAGAGGACAAGCTCCAGGCCAGTCTGGGCAACTTGACAATACCTATCTCAAAATAAAGCTAAAAAGGGCTAGCCTGCGGGACAGCCTGGGGGTAAATCCACAATACTAGAAATGGCAGTAAGGATCCACAGGGGAAGGGAGGGGAAAACCTTAACCTCGGTACTCACCAGTTTTCTATTGCTCCTTGTCAGCCTCTAGAAACCCTGGGGTTGGTTTTTTATCTTTTGTTTTGCTTTGCTTTGCCTCCAGTCAGTTTCTCTAAGTAGCCCTGGCTGTCCTAGAACTGGATCCATAGGCCAGGCTACCCTCGAACTAAGAGATCTGCCTCTTTCTTCCTCCAGAGTGCTGAGATTAAAGGCATGCGCCCGACTTTGTTACTGTTTTAAGACATTGTCTCACTCTATGGACAAGAAGGCCTCAATTCCCAAATGCTGAGATTCCAAGACTGTCATCTCACCACGAGGGGCCAAGTATGGATGGGTTTTAAGATGAAAATCCCGAAGGTGGCCATCTCCTTGCCCGTGGTACTTACCACTTACAACCTTTCAAGAAGTTCTCGGAGCGGGTGCTGAACTCGGACCAGGAACCACTGAGGTATCGGGGTACCTGTGAGAAGTTGTAGCTCCAAAAGCTGGAAAGGAGATGGAGAATCAACAAACGTGGGTCGTCAGAGGAAAATGGGAGTGGAATGGAGCTGAGGACTGATGGCTGTCATTTTCACAGGTCCAGGCTCCTCAGATTCCAAAGTCACTTACATGTCCCCCTCATCCACCGCAGCGGGTTCCTCAGACACACCTTCCGTGGCTTCTCCTGACTCCGACTCAGGTCGATTCGTTTCTTCTACGGGAAGGTTCGCATTTTCAGAAATTTCTTGCTCCTCGATTCGAAGACTCAACTCACTGGAAGTATTAAATTCTACTTCCAGAGGAGTTGAGTCCCCTTGTTGAAGCTCCTGGGACACAACCGACCCAGCCACGGGATCTGTGGCTACCTGGGGTTGATCATCTCCACCGCAGGGCGGAGACACCTGCTCAGAGTCCGTATTTTTGTCCGCGGGGAAACCTTGGGGGACTGGAGCTGGGGCCAGGTCAGAAGGGTGGCTATCCGGAGCTAGGAGTCGCTCCTCCGACGTCTTCATTCTGTAGAGTAAGCTCGCGGAAGGCAGAGGCTGGGCAAGCCTCGATGAGCAGCCTACCAGGTGCCGAGGCAAGACCGCATTACCGTTCCCAGGGATCTGGATGCAGAACTGCACAGCCCTGAGTCCGCTTTCCTCTTCCGGAAAGAGTAAGCCGAGACCCGCGACCTAAAGCTAACACGGGGAAACGAACGTCCAAAGCGAAGCGCCTAGGGTCGCTAGGCGCCGCCAGTGCTTCTTGCTCTCGCGGGAGTCGGGCCACCTTCCGATAGGCTCCCCGCATCCTCCTCCGATTCTGAGCGATAAGGCGGGAAGGAAAGACTTTGCCCAACCCTCAAGCGCTAGAGATTTCCTAAAGGTTTCTGGGAGTTGTAGTCTAAATTGGAATGGTGAAAACCACACGCGCTCCCCCTACCGTCCCCTGGGGGTAATTCTTAAAGTACCTATCCTCCCTGGCCTGCAGAGGGCGCTTATTTGCTAGTTTTTGCCCCCCTTGAATATCTTGTTTTGAATCCCGCAACCTCGAAATAAGGTTTCCTTTCTCCTCACCTCCCTCCCTTCTTTCTCTCTCCCTCCCTCCCCCTCCCTCCCATTATTCATTCGACATCTATTTTCAAACTCTTACTTCCTACCCAGCACTGTACGAGGCATTGGGAAAAAAAATAGCAATGAATAAAATAGTTTACGAGTTCTCATTGTCCATAAAGTTTTCGTTGCTGTGCAATTGAAGGCTGTGAAAACGATCTTTACAGATAGTGATAAGGACTGTACAGGAAATTAAACAAGGTGGTGTGATAAAAAGTATCTCGGACAACAGATTAGATTGACATATTAGGAAAAGCCTTTCTAAAGTGACATTTTAGCTGATGAGGGGGAAAAAAATAGCTGCTGATGTTGGTTCATGCCTGTATTTGAGAGGCCTAAAGCAGGAAGACTGCGGTGAATTCCAGGCCAGCCTGGCTACAAAGACTCAGTTTCAAAAAGCCAAAAAGATGACTTTGTCTATCTAGCTAGATAGGAAAGAGCACAGTGCTCAACGCACTGGTCCACTTAAAACAGACTATAAAAGCTTAACTCTTTCCACTCTTTATACTCGACACAGTGGCAGGAGTCTCCACCAATTTTCTCCTTACAGCTCTATCTTAGACGATTTTTCACAAACCGTTCGTGTTGATGGCAACATCTCAGGGAGAATCCTGACTCTCCCAAGTCCCCGCCTCCATTTCTTGCCCTCAACCCACCGAATGACTTGCCCTTACTTGTTATGGCGATTATCCAGCTTTCTGCCAGGAGTCTCGCGGGGGTTGCTGGGATAGGGACTTTCCCCTCCCACGTGCTCACACAGGCTAAAGTTCTGAAGCTTCAGTTGATTGGGACGATTCTGGTTGTAGGTAGCGACTATACTTAGGGGGCACCTGGGATCTAGGCCCGCATCTTACTTCCCGGCAGGGTGTCACGCTCCCCCGAAGACTGGGTAAGTAATTGACTGAGCGTGATGAGTCCTCTCTGGTCACTGGCTCTCTCGGTTTGCATACATAAAACTAGAAAGAATCGGGGGTTTGGGGGTGGGACAGTGGGGGGACTCAGCGCGGTTGAGATGGGCGGAATGGAAGCTTGGCGGGCGGGATGAACGGGGAAGTATGTCAGATGCTGAAGTGAGTATAGGTGATGATGTTAGGACCAACTAGCCTCACAGTCATGCACCTGCAAAGTAGATAGAGCATTTGGGGACCCCTGAGATGGCCTAAGGGGTTTTCTCTCCGCTATCCTATACACCCTTATCTACCCGCTGCTGGGAAATGGAAGCTCCTGAAATAACATGCACAAAACACTATCACTTGAAATTTTTCGAGATTCATAGCGTAAGACTTAAGACCCCATAGCATCCTAATGAAACCTCGGGCTCCATTCCTTGATGAAATCGGGATGATCCGGGAAGCCGTAGCTGCTAAGGTCCTGCAACTTCCGGACCTTTGTCCCTGGAGTGATTTCTTTTTTTTTCCAGCCGCTTCTCGACCCTGCTAGATGAAGAAAATCCAAGGAAAGCCTGAAGCACTAGCGGTGCTAGCCTGAAGTGTTTGCCCTCGGGGCCCGACCCAACCTCTTGTTCTGAAAGGCCCGCCGGCCCTGTTATTGTTTGGCTCCACATTTACGTTTCTGCCGATTGCAGGAGCATTTCCGGTTTCTTTTTTCGGAGCAGATCACTGTTCACCCGGCGACGGGGGAGTAGCAAAGAGGGGAGAAATGTATTCTAGGCTGGTTCTGTTGTTTGAGGAAGAAAACTGCTATCCTCGACATCTTATTTTTCTGGATTACTTGGTTATTGCTTTTCCAAAGGAGGAGGTGTTTATTTAAAAGAGTGCGCCGATAGGTCGTTTCTTCGTGCCGGAAAAGCAAATTACCGAGTATCCGGTTTTGGGGTGAGCCATTCCCTTGCTTAACGCATTCAGCACGTTCTGAAAGCGGAAGGGGCGGGCCTTGGCCAGGGCGCCCGGAGGTCCTAAGTGCAGCCTGCCCGTACGGAACGATTCTTCCCAGCGGGAGGTGGCAGAACTCTGTCTGGGCCCGGGTATTGCCTGTCCCCGCCACTTCAGTTTTTAGGGCAGGTCATTTTATTAGTTTCTTATCGCGCACCAAACTTCTTGCGTGCCTTTTCTTCTTCTTCTTCTTCTTCTTCTTCTTCTTCTTCTTCTTCTTCTTCTCCTTCTTCTTCTTCTCCTTCTTCTTCTCCTTCTTCTCCTTCTTCTTCTTCTTTTTTTCTGTAAAAATACTATTTCCACACAGCGCTTGAAACGGGAAATAATTTTTTTTGTCCCTCTGAAGACTTAGTAGTTTTGGTGTAAAGAATAAGGGAACAATAGGTGACTGAATTTTTATTTTGTTCTATTTATTTATTTATTTATTTATTTATTTATTGCGTAGCTTCAGGTGTAAAACTGAAAGGAAGACTAGGTTTACTCGAGTGTATTAGAGTAGAATACAAATCACCCCGAGTTTCGTACGCCAAAGGAACCCCAGCTGTGAAGGTTAGACAGGACAATCACCGAGGTCAGGGGATGCCTTCTTATGTAAATAGCCGACCTGCTCTTGCAATCTCTTGACTGAGTTGGTTTAGGACTCTTCTTTTGAATGTGAAAAGATCCCAATCTGAAGTTAAAAGGAGGTGTTTCTAGGCCCGGTCCCTGTTTGCAAATGTAGATATAGTGTTGACAAAAAAGAAGCCGGTCTTGACTGGGTGCTGCAGGCCTTTAATCCCAGCACTAGGGAGGCAGAGGTGGATCAATATCTGAGTTTCAGGCCTGCCAAGGATACACAATGAAGAACCTATCTCAAAAAAAAAATGTCACGTATGTTAATATTTACACAGACACAAGATTACCTGACAGTTTTGTAGCACTAGAAATTCCTGAAGCAGGAACAATCTCAAGTTCCAGACCACAGTGTCTGATACATACAGGGAGTTCAAGGTCTAGGGAGACCCTATCTTCAAAAAAAATCTTGAATAGTAGGAATATAAGTTCAAGGTCATCCTTCCCTCTGTATTTGTAGGCCAACTTGGGATAAATGAGACTGTCTACAAAAAAAGTGTGTAAGTTAGCATACATTAGGAAATCAGAGCAAGCAAGCTTTTCTCCTGAAAGGGTGAATGAGGAAGTCCTGGTGGTACGTGCCTCTAGTGCTAAAACTCCAGGATGCTGAGGCAAGAGTCAATGAGTCAAAAACCAACTTGGGCTACTGTAGCAAGACCTTGTCTCAGAAAAACAAACAGCTGGAGATACAGCTTATGGTAGAGTATTTTACCTGGCAAACGTGATACCCTTGGTTTAAATCCTGGAACCACAAAAACAAAGGCTAAAGCCAGCTTGACCAAATTTGATTTGTCCATGGATTGCTGTATTGGAATCAAACAGAAATCTGTGTGATTCTCAGCATTAACATCCTGGGGATGCTTCCATAGACGGAGAAAGGGCAGTTGACTGAACCCTCCATCCTTTCTCCCAATCCTTTTATTTCTATTCTGGTCATAATTTGTTTGCCTGAGGTAGGCTTTCTCTCTGTAGCCATGGTTGGCTATCCTGGGACTCCCCTCTGTAGACCAAGCTGGCCTTGAAGAGCTCCAACTGTCTCTGCCTCCTATGTGCTGGGATCAAAGCCACTGTTGTCTGGCTTCTTAGATTTGGAACAAGCCTCACAGCAAACTGAGTACCTGGGATCCCACCACTACAGTGGTTAAGACAGTAATGAATTTGAGGCCAGCCTGGAATGGATAGTGAAACCCTGTCTCAAGAAAGGGGGCAGAGCAGGGAATAAGTCCCAAAAGTGATATTTTCCAAGGTGCAAAAGTGATGCTTCCTTAGAGAGTGACGGCAGAAGGGACAGAAGTAAATTTGATTCCTTAGTTACTAACTTGGTGTTGATTGCTTAGTTACTAACTTGGTGTCGATTTGAGACCTAAACTGGTGAGCTTTTAGGAAGGAAGCTAACAGTGTGCACAAATCTTAACATTTTGTTTGTTTGATTTTTGTCTTTGGCTGATAGAATGAACCAACTGTCTTCATCTTGGTGCAAAAGAGGGTTACAAGGCTATTTCAAAATTTGCCAAATAAGCACTTAACATTTCCTCTTGAATCCATGTTTTAGTTACATAAGCAGTAAACAAACAGTCCTAAACTAGATGTGCTGGCTCATACCTGCAAATCCAACACTCAGGAAGCTACAACCGAAGAATTGCCTTATAGCCAAGCTACAGAGTGAGGAGACTGTCTCAGAATATAAAATAAAACTAAATAAAAAATAGTGGTCATCTTTTATCACATTGTGAGTGTGTGTGTGTGTGTGTGTGTGTGTGTGTGTGTGTGTGTTGCTCATGCATACTCGTTAGCATACACGTAAGAGGTCAGTTGACGACTTACTAGAAATTAGTTTTGGAGTGATCAGTCTTGGTACCAAGTGCCTGTTCTGGTCACAGACCCATATATTTTCTGATTTATATAAACTATTTTGAGTCTTTCTGCAAATTGTATTCTTCATCCAATGTGTTTCTGAAACATTTTTCAAAACTTAGTTTTGTCTATTTCCCACCAGTGTGTCGTGGTGCTGTGATTTTTCTTGCTTCACATCCAGAGTAAGGCTGACAGGAGCGGTTTCTGTGCAAGGCTCCTGCTGTGCATGCCAACTGGTGTAGGAAGTGCACCTAGATGTTTCACTGAGTGAGACGCATGCTGAATTTAAGTTATACCAGACACTGTCTTGTTACTTTTAGAACCAGCAGTACATCCATTCCGGTCATTGGCCCCCACCCCATCCACCTTTTTTCCAATGCTGGGTGTTGAACCCAGAGCCTTAGACATAACACATAAGGACCCTGCCACTGAGCTACACTGTCAGCCCCCAAAGATTTTGTTTGGATTGGTTTGGTTGTTTTGTTTGTTTGTTTGTTTTGGGTTTTTTTGAGACAGGGTTTCTCTGTGTAGCCCTGGCTGTCCTGGAACTCACTCTGTAGACCAGGCTGGCCTCGAACTCAGAAATCTGCCTGCCTCTGCCTCCCAAGTGCTGGGATTAAAGGCATGCGCCACCACCGCCCGGCTCACTAAATTCTATATAACATTAGGATCATTTTATTCAGCGTAGGGTGTGGCGTCTGGCTTCTCTGGTTCCCATCTTTTGGTAGTAGGAGTGCTTGTTCCATTTGGTTTGGGGGTTGGTTGAGGGTTGCCATTGACAAGCCTTGAACCCTTCCAGCTGTTTTACCTCGAGATCCTGGGTCCTGGGTAAATGATTTCATTCCCTTACCTGTCAGTTGCTGCCTGCCTACCTGCCTAGCTTTCTCAGGATCGAATGAGATGAGCCCCTGAAAACAGCAGGCCTGCTGCAGTTGTGTTCAAACCCCTCCTGAGTCCCAACCAGCGTTTTCTTAAACATCCAGCCTCCCGAGATACTGTGAGAAGTTCCATAGTGGCAACTGTTCTTTTTAAGGAAACACTGAAAACCTACTTAACAGTACTGCACATGCACACACACATGCTATGTTCACTGAACAGAGTTCCTTGGCAGCATGAACTGGCAGGAATGGGCAGTGGTTAGTGCCACAGGAGCACTATTAGCTCAGAACAAATGAGGTGTTCATGTCAACATTGCTGAGCTCTTACATGTATGTGGACCGTTGGGGGAGGGGGACTGAACCCAGGGCTTCACAAATGAGCTCTGCATCAAGGACAAATCTCAAATGAAAAGGCCACAAGGTAATCCTTTCAGATAGGTACAGTAGATGTGATATTTACAGGACATATGATAGTTAAATGCTGTAGTTTTAATTATTAATCTGAAGAGGCTCTGGACCTCCTTCACCCCTTTCCGTAGCCAGCCACCTCAGATTGAAAGGGCTATAATATCCGGTCCTTCACTTTCTTCAGCTAAGATCGGCCTTCACTGATTGCAAGAGAACTGTGCATAAGAGCCTGTGATGCACTAGACTGGGTGGCCATCTTTAATAAATCTCACTTGCCCTGTGTGTCTTCTTGGCAGGTCACCTGTCAGGTGGCAGATGTGACCGTCAAGACAGATGAAGTAGCCCATATGGGAAGAGTTCTCAACCTCTTAAATAAATGAGAAAGCGATTAATCTACTTATAAGTGAAAGTAAATGTTAAGGTTATAGTCAGTATTAACAGTAAGTATCCTGGAACGTTTGTCTTTGTTGTTAGAAAAGAAACATGATGTCCTAGGGGGCTGGCCAGAATTCAGTCCCCAGAACCCACTTATCAGAAAGGGAGAACCAACTCATGCAAGTTGTCCTCTGACCTCCACGCTCTTGGCACCTTTAAATAAGGCACAATAAATAAGTACATGTTTAAATAAGGGAGGTGACAGCTACATGACTAATAGTGAGAGAGAGTATCACAGTGTCATACAGCTTAACTACTGTGAAGACTGTGATGGCATGGCTTGCTGGAGATTGGCTGGCTGTGACTAAACATCTGTGTGTGAGATGGTGGATAAGGGGGTGGGGGAGGTGGCCCTCCCCAGAGGGAAGGGAGGAGAGATGTAGGGTGCAGATGTGGGCGGGCTTGCGGGGGTGGGAAGTAGCTCTCTGGTTATCTGTTCCTTAAAGCAGCCTGTGGTTCGAGAAGCCGATAGGAAGCCAGGCTTGAGCAGCCAGAATAAAAGACAGAAGAGCTGCCCATCCTTGCTTCTCTGGAAATGGTGTCCCTCACAGCTGTCTCGGGTCCTGACTTCTCAAAGGAGCATGGCCAACTTCTTGGATACTTGTAACCTCAAGCTTTCCCAGCCGCACATAAGTTTCCCGAAATAACGACTCTGAAACTCAAACTGTATTTGCAAACACCTTGGCCGTAGCTTTGGTTTGTTCTCTAACTTGCTCATAACTTAATATCCCTATTATTTTAACCTAAGTTCTACCACGTGGTTGGTTACCTCAGCTCAGCCCCCTGCTTCTGTCCTCCGTGTTCCCAGGATTTAATCTCCCCACCGAATGTCCCATCTTCTTTTTATTCTACCCTTTCCCATAGGCCATAGTTTTTTTTTAATTGACGAGTTATGCATCCATACAGTACACCAGGTATTCTCTTTACAGATGACTGCCATGGAGGATTCCCAGTCGGATATCAGCATCGAGCTCCCTCTGAGTCAGGAGACGTTTTCAGGCTTATGGAAATCCATGTGAGTGATCTTATGGGGCCTCTAAGGTACCATCTCACCATACCTGTATCCTCTCCTTGTCTGTGAGAAACAAAAACAATAGTTAAAACATGGCATGGTGTTGGGTGCCTGTGATCCCTGCACTTGGGAGGTAGAGGCAAGGGTCTCAGTAGTTTGAAATCATCCTTGACTACGTAGCAACTTTGAGGCCAGCCTGGGATAAGTGAGATTCTGTCTCCAAAAAATGGAAGAAAATCAGGGGAACTAACTCTCTGTTCTTGTTTTCCAGACTTCCTCAAGAAGATATTCTGGTAAGGTCGGGGCAGAAAGGGACTTGGGCTTTGGTGGGCTGGTGGGTTGGTGGACTGAGAACACCGTCCTGAGGTTCTACTTTGACCCTTCCACAGTCTGCTGCGGTGTTGTCACCTAACCCCATGGAGGATCTGTTCCTGTCCCAGAATGTCGCAGAGTTGTTAGAAGACCCAGATGAAGCCCTCCAAATGGCAGCAGCTCCTCCAACACAGGACCCTGTAACTGAGGCCCCTGCACCAGTGGCCCCTGCACCAGCCACTCAGTGGCCCCTGTCATCTTCCGTCCCTTCTCAAAAAACTTACCAGGGCAACTATGGCTTCCGCCTGGGCTTCCTGCAGTCAGGGACAGCCAAGTCTGTTATGTGCACGGTCAGTGGGCCTGAGGAGTTGCTTTTTGTGTGACCTTTCAATGCCTCTTTTTCTCTGTCTAGATTTGGGGGTTCCTCTTTAGCCTGTGGACTATGCCTCAGAGTTTTATTTCACCCTGAGCCCTTTTTAGCCTTTTATCCTTCCTCTCCTATTCTCTGCATCTCTCCAGGGGACATGGAACTTTCTTCCCTCACATTCCTTTCTTGGCTTTTGAAAATAATCTTCTGAAGCCAGACACAGAGGCATGCACTGTAGGCCCAGCTGCTAGAGACGTTGAGGCAGGCAGGATTGCTTAAGGCCAGCCTGAGCATCAAAGCAAGGCCCCTTCTCACCACAAACAAAAACAGAGCCCAGTGGGGTGACACACACCTGTAGCTCCAGCACTGGGGAGGCCAAAGCAGGAGGAAGAAAAGTTCAAGGTTATCCTTGACTACACAGTGAGATGCCCTCTCAAAAGAAGAAAAAGAGAAGCCAGGTGTGGCGGCCATCTTGGTGAGGTTGAGGACAGCCAGGGCTACATAGAGAAACTGTCTCAAAAAGCCAGAGAGGGCCGGGCAGTGGTGGCGCACTTTAATCCCAGCACTTGGGAGGCAGAGGCAGGTGGATTTCTGAGTTCGAGAGTTCGAGGCCAGCCTGGTCTACAGAGTGAGTTCCAGGACAGCCAGGGCTACACAGAGAAACCCTGTCTCAAAAAAAACAAACAAACAAAAAAAAAAAAAACAGAGAGGAAAACAAACCACCTGGTGTGTAGACCCCAGTCCTATCATTACTAGCTGCCCTCAGCCACGGCACTGGCATCCAATAGGTGCTTGGATGATATTTTTCATTAGTTCCCCACCTTGACACTTGTACCTTCGATTCTCTCTCTTACAGTACTCCCCTCCACTCAATAAGCTGTTCTGCCAGCTGGCAAAGACATGCCCTGTGCAGCTGTGGGTCAGCGCCACGCCTCCAGCTGGTAGCCGAGTTCGTGCCATGGCCATCTACAAGAAGTCACAACACATGACAGAGGTCGTCAGACGCTGCCCCCACCATGAACGTTGCTCTGATGGTGACGGTGAGCCAGACACCGCCTGTGGGGTAGAACTGGTTGCCTGGGGTCTCCCAGCCTCTGACTTATCCTTGCTCCTAGGCTTGGCTCCTCCCCAGCATCTTATCCGGGTGGAAGGAAACTTGTATGCTGAGTATCTGGACGACAGGCAGACTTTTCGCCACAGCGTGGTGGTACCATATGAACCACCCGAGGTTGGCTCTGACTATACCACCATCCACTACAAGTACATGTGTAATAGCTCCTGCATGGGGGGCATGAACCGCCGGCCTATCCTTACCATCATCACACTGGAAGACTCCAGGTAGGAAGCTATGGGCTAGGTCAGGCTAGCATGTTTCCTCCCCAGCCTCTGCCTGTTTCTGTTCCATGAGCTCTACCCCCTACCACATGCCCAACCCTCTTTAGATCCTACCCTGTCTACTAACTGAAGTCTCCTTCTCTGTTCCCTCTCCAGCTTAGGGATTTCTCTTATCTGTGACTTCTTTTGGAGGGTCCGTGTAATTGGAGCTTCGGCTCCAGATATGACAAGAGGGGTTGGGAACAGCTGGGGCCTGGTTTATAAAACAGTCCGAATTTGGCCCAGCTCTCTTACTGCCTTGTGCTGTTCCTCTTCTCGTCCCGGGTAGTGGGAACCTTCTGGGACGGGACAGCTTTGAGGTTCGCGTTTGTGCCTGCCCTGGGAGAGACCGTCGTACAGAGGAAGAAAATTTCCGCAAAAAGGAAGAACATTGCCCGGAGCTGCCCCCAGGGAGTGCTAAGAGAGGTAAGCAGGCAGGACAAAGAAGGTGGGGGAGGCTGTGGCTGTTCAACTTTACCCCAAAGTCACCTCTTGGTTTCTCCTTCCACAGCACTGCCCACCAGTACAAGCTCCTCTCCCCAGCAAAAGAAAAAACCACTTGATGGAGAATATTTCACCCTTAAGGTACCAAGGTTGGGAGAGTCGGCATCTCAGAGACAAGATGTATCCATTGTTGCCTCTGTCTCTTGCATGTATAAAGTAGTATTCTTATCAGACTAAAATTCTAGGTCTAGTACACAAAATGCTGGATCTTTTTCAGTGGCTTCATCTCTAGCTATGACATTAGCCTCAGGGCACAGGCTCTGAGGCTGTGGCTCCTCAGGCAGTGACTCTCAGTTGTAACTAACTTGAGAACACCAACTTATATCAAAACACAGGTGCTCATCTGCTTGGGCTGGGAACATGTTCTAGGAAACTCGTCATAGGTTGAAAATACCGTATGTCAAAAATGTATTTAGAGGCTGGCCTGGTTGGCAGGTGCCTGTAATTACAGAACTGAGGAGGGTAGCTCAAAGCCAACAAGAAAAGACATTCAGGTTTAAGGATGTAACTCAGTTTCAGAATACTTGCCAAGCTTGCATAAGGCCCCAGATTCGGTGTGTTTAATCCACCTGACTCACTGGACCTTACAGCTCTGCAACACTGTGCATGTCTCAGGATTTCCCTGTTAAGTGTCTGTCCCCATTTTGAGCATCCTGCTCTGCTCCCTCTAACTGAAAAGACCCAAGTTTGTTTTACATGTTCTACTGAATGCCTGTTTCACACCGTCATAAAGACATCCCCCACACACAAGAAAAAAACTGTACCTTGAGCCAGCTAAAGTTGGGGACCAGCTTTCAGAAAGGAAGTTGTTAAAAGCATGAAAGTGGTTGTGTGACTCTCCAGCACTTCTGTCCCGCTTCACTTGCTACAGATCCGCGGGCGCTCACGCTTCGAGATGTTCCGGGAGCTGAATGAGGCCTTAGAATTAAAGGACGCCCGTGCTGCAGAGGAGTCGGGAGACAGCAGGGCTCACTCCAGGTGAGCAACCTGGGCCAGCAGCCGGCTGTGGGGCTCTACCCTGACCTCCCTCCAGCTCAGCCTTTGTGGTAAAAGACAGTAACCCCACTCTGCTGGATGGGTGGGTTACTCGGCCCTTTGAGGCCTTAGTACTCAGCATTTCAGGCTCTATAAAGTGGGATGAGGGACAAAGTATGATGTCATGCTCCTATAATCTCAGCAGTAAGGAAGGCAGAGAGTCAGGAGGGTTTGGGGAGGTTTGAAGCCTTCACAAGCTATATAAAACTTCAGGCCAGTAAGGGCTAGCTACAAAGCAAGACCCTGTCTCATGGTGGTCATGGCGGTGGTGGTGGTGGTGGTGATGGTTGTGATAATGGTGTCCGTGGTGACGGCGATGAAAGGGAGGATAAACTGGTTCTCAGAAGTACTCCAGCGTGTTCTGTGAATATACCTACCCATAGTAGAAGCCATCTTAAATTCCCTTTTTTTCAGCCTCCAGCCTAGAGCCTTCCAAGCATTGATCAAGAAGGAAAGCCCAAACTGCTAGCCCACATCACCTCATCCTCCCCTTTTCTGTCTTCCTATAGCTACCTGAAGACCAAGAAGGGCCAGTCTACTTCCCGCCATAAAAAACCAATGATCAAGAAAGTGGGGCCTGACTCAGACTGACAGCCTCTGCATCCTGTCCCCCATCACCAACCTCCCCCTCTCCTTTCTTGCCATTTTATGACTTTAGGGCTTATTATGAGAGCTTCCACTGCCTTTTTTTTTTTTTTTTTTTTTTTTTTTACCTTGTAGCTAGGGCTCAGCCCCCTCTTGAGTACTGGTTCCTGGCCCAGGTTGGGGAATGGGTTGGTAGTTGCCAGGTCTCTGCTGGCCCAGCGAAATCCTATCCAGCCAGTTGTTGGACCCTGGCACCTGAAATGAAATTTCACCCTACCCCATGCCCTGTAAGATTCTATCTTGGGCCCTCATAGGGTCCTCATCCTCCAGGGCCCATTTTCCTTCCACTCTGCAAAGCCTGTCTGCATTTATCAGTCCCCCACCCTGTCTCCCCCCTTTTTTTTTAAACCCCTTTTTATATATCAATTTATTATTTTACAATAAAATTTTGTTATCACTTGTATGGTTTTTGAGAGGTTGATATCAGCATAAGCTGCCTGGGCCCCCAGGTGCAGGGATGAATTTAGGAGGCACCCACCTGAGTCCAGGCAGTGTTGGAGTCAGGGGTGGGGAACTTGGGTTCCAGAAGACGAACAAAGCCGGGGACTGGGTCAGTCTGTGGACTGCATGACAACAAGGGAGCAGGGTGACTCCATTCATAACTTGGGAACCAACTGTCCCTCCTCCCCGCCAGGACTGGCACAGTCCTCACCCACCCCTACTTCGAGGGTTGGGCTCCTGCTGTCCTCCCGGGGAGCCTCTCACCAAGGATTAACGGATTTAAATGTCTGATTTAGCAAACCTGAGCCTCTGGAGTGGCCATCTGCTCCACAAGAAAGGATCAGGATGCCTGGGTTCCACAGGGAAGGGGTGGCTGTCCCTGGATGAAGAGACAAGTGGGAGGCTTGCCAGCCAGGGTCCCAGGAAACTGGGAGCAGCTAAGGTGAGGTCTGGGGCCTTCCCAGCATCCCCATATCCCGGGCCTCATGCCAGGCTAGTGAATGAATCGAAGCTTTGCACTTTGCCAGGAAATCCTTTGAAAGGGCTTCTTGGAGTAGGGAGGAGAATCAGAGTTGGGGAGCCCAACACCCTCTTACCCACCCCCTTCCTCAGTGCTGCTGGCTCCCAGAGAGCCACACTAGGCCAAGCTCTCCCCATAGCCTGCTGAGCCAGTGCCAGTAGGGAGAGCAGTCAGTGAGCACATGGCTTGGCCATGTCTCTTGGTAATAGAGAGAGGGGTACTGAGGTCCAGAGGGACTTTGGGGCCACTGTCCTCTGCCTGTCCCAGGATTAAAGAGCCAGTGAGAGTCCTTTGCCTTGCCAAGGATCCTAAATTACGTTGTAAGGCCCCTTAGCCTTAAGACCACCTTTTATACTTTTGAGTACCAAATGTTCTCACAGCAAACTGGGGTCTACCTTTTTAACTTAATTTGGCGGGAATGTATGAGGCCGATCAAGCCCACTACACTTTTCCCTTGTTTTTTGTTCCACAACTTTACTGAGATAGAACTAAATCCAAAGAACTGTGTTCAAGGCCACAAATTTGAGCCTCTTATCTCAAAAAGGGAGGAGGGGCTAAAATGCTCGCCAAATTAAAAGCTGTCTGTACACTCACCATTTGTGCCTGTATGGCAAACGTTAAGACAGAGTACTACTTAACAAAATCTCCACTACCCAACTCCCTTATTTTTTTATTTTCAGACAGTACCTTGCTAACTAAGTAGCCTAGGCTACCCTCAACATTGGTCTCATCTTTATTTAGCAGTCCAAGTGGAAGGAGGGTCAGACAAAGGGCCACCACACGTCCTTACCTTCCCCATTTCCCTATATTTTGTCCTTACTTCCGTCCTACCACCTCAAGTCTTCAAAAAGCAGATCCGTTTTGGATCCTCGAATCCCTTCTTTGAGAGCTGATATCAAAACACAAAGAATACTGAGGTTTTGCTTTTCCAGCCAGCTCCTCTGTGTAACCCTCACACCCATCACCAACCTCCCAGGTTCCACATCCAGGCTATTTTCATCAACTGGGCTTCAATCCATAAAGTACTTGATATTCACAGGGACCCTGTGTCTGGTATGACCTCTGCCCAGGAGGTAAATAACCCAGGCCTTATTCTACAGAGGTCTAAAATCAAATCTCCCAATCTCCAATCTCCTTGTAACGCTAACCTACTTTTACATTTTAGGTCAATATATTCTTTATTTTTCATTTTTGGAGAAATGGTGACCTGGGACCAAGGAATGCTTAAGTACCAGGAATTAACCCCCACCCCAACTCTATATGATGATGAGGCACACCTTTAATCCTGACACCTGGGACTCAGAAGGAGGCAGAGGCCAGCCTGGTCTACAGAGTGAGTTCCAGTACAGCCAGGGCTACACAGAGAAACACTGTCTCAAAAAAAAAAAAAAAAATTTAAGGGCTGGAAAGATGGCTCAGTGGTCAAGAGCACTGACTGCTCTTCCAGAGGTCCTGAGTTCAATTCCCAGCAACCACATGGTGGCTCACAACCATCTGTAATGGGGTCTGGTGCCCTCTTCTGGTGTGTCTGAAGAGAGCAATGGTGTACTCATATACAAAAAATAAAAATAAAGAGATTTAAAAAAAAAAAAAACACCAAACAAACAAATGGAAAAATCAACCCCTATCATGGCTTTGTTATGGTTTCAAGATTTTGTTGTTACTGCTGTTTTGTTTTGTTTTGTTAATTTTTGAGATGATGGAGTCTCTTGCAACACAGACTAGCTCTAACTCCTGATCCTTCTGCTTCTACCTCCAAAATGCTGAGATTATAATAAACAAGTTTCATGACTCCCAGTATGTATATTTTTAATTTAGAAAATAATTTAAGAAGCATATTGGATCTCTAAATTTGAGACCAGCCTGGTCTATAGCACAAGTTCCAGGACAAACACATACAAACCCTATCTCAAGCAAACAAACAAAAACCATAGGATCAGGAGGCAAAGGCAGGCAGATCTCTGTGAGTTCCAGGCTCATTCACCTGGTCTACATAGTGAGTTCCAGGTATTCAGGAAAATAAATAGCCCTGAGTGCTGTCATTATTTAAGAGAGAGAAAATATCTAGGGACTAGAGAAGTGGCTCAATGATGAAGAGCACATGCTTCTCTTCCAAAGGACCAGGGTTCTGATCCCAGCACCCATGTCAAGTGGCTCACAAATATATATCGCCAAGAGTCTCAACTTTGTCTCACCTCCAGAGGTACCTGCACATACATGGTACACATATACACACAGTACACATGCACACATGATACATATACATGCACCCAGACACACAAAAATAAAACAAATAACTAAATCTTCAAGGGACCCATACTCATCCTAACATTAAAGCTATAAATTACTGACATTTGATTGAAAGGAAAAACCTAAAACTTTAATCAGGATTTTAAAAATCAGGAACTTTAAAACGTATGTCCAGCTGGGCAGTGGTGGCGCACGCCTTTAATCCCAGCACTTGGGAGGCAGAGACAGGCGGATTTCTGAGCTCAAGGCCAGCTTGGTCTACAGAGTGAGTTCCAGGACAGCCAGAACTACACAGAGAAACCCTGTCTCGAAAAATAAAAACAAAACCAAAAAAAAAAGATCTGGAAAAACAAAAAAACAAAAAAACAAAAAAAAAAAAAAAAAGTTTGTCCACCTTGAAAAGCTCAGGGCTGAGGGCTGAGCTCAGCAGAGACTCAACGTGTGCAAAGCCCAGGCCCATCCCCAGGACTATCACCAAAGAGAAAGGGGGGAGAGGAAAAGAGGAGTGGGAGGAGAGGGAGAAGGGAAAGAAAAGAAAGGAGAAGGAAGATTTGGTGAAGTAACCCATCCTGGAAGTCCATCCAGCTGCCCAGCAACTGAGGCAGGAGAATCACTTGAGCTCCGAAATTTCAAGTCAGTTTAGGCAAGATAATGAAACAGTATCATCATGAAAGAAGGATGGAGGGAAGGAGGAAACCTAGGAGTTAGAAGTGTAACTCGATGTTAAAGCATGTCATCCTGAAGGACTTGGCTTCAATCCCTCCCCCCAAAAAAGGGTCAAAAACTAAAATATCTGGGTGTGGTGGCCCACGCCTTTAATCCCAGTGATCAGGAAGCAGAGGCAGGAGTATCTGTGAGTTCAAGGCCAGACTAGTCTACATAGCCATAGACTACTTAAACAAGCCAAGGCTAAACAGTAGGACCAGTCTCAGACAAACCTTAGCTGAGGATGGCTGAGGCAGAAGAGGAGAAATGCCAGGTAGCTTGGCCAACATCATGAGATTTCACCTCAACAACTTGAGCTCTCAATAAACAAACAACTTCAGCTTGTCTGAAAGGACAAATATAAATAATCGAGTGACCCACTGTTTATTCTGGGCCATAGGAAAAGAGTGAAATCTCTGAATGTATTTAAAATTATAAGGGTCTGGCATGCTATCATGTGCGTTTAGTGCCAGCAATCACTCAGGAGGCAGAGGCAGGAGGATCTATGTAAGTCAGATGCCAGTCTGGTCTACACAGCAAGTGCCAGGCCAGCTAAGGCTGTGGAGTGGGACCCTATCATTAATAATAATAATCATTACACTAAGGGTTAAAAGTGTAGCTCAGCAGAGTATGCACATACCATGTTAGAGACTTTTCTTTCCATCCAGAGTCAAAAAAAGGAAGCCGGTCCTAGTGGTAGTGGCGTACGACTTTAATTCCAGCACCCAGGAGGCAGAGGCAGGCAAACCTGAGTTTCAGAACATCAAGGGCTACATAGAGAAACCCTGTCTCAATAAAACAAAAAACAAGAAAGAAAGAGAGAAAGAAAGAAAGAAAGAAAGAAAGAAAGAAAGAAAGAAAGAAAGAAAGAAAGGAAGGAAGAAAGGAAGAAAGAAAGAAAGAAAGAGAGGGAGAAAGAAAGAGGGAAAGAGAGAAAGAGAGAAAGAGAGAAAGAGAGAGAGACAGAGGCAAGTAGGGAGGAAGAAAAGAAAGAAACAACAAAACTAGCCATGAGGCTCAGTTGGTAGAGCATTTGCCTAATACTCATGAAGCTCTAGGTTTAATACCCATCACCAAATAAAGGAGGTACCCAGCATGGTGACATACTCTGTAACCCCAGCACTGAGGAAGTAGAGATAGGAAGATAAGAAATACAAGATAGGTCTGGGTTACGAGATTTTGTTTTTAAAATACCAAAATAATTGCCGGGCGGTGGTGCCAGGACTATACAGAGAAACCCTGTCTCGAAAAAACAAACAAACAAACAAACAAACAAACAAATAAAACAAAAAAAAACCCAAAAAACAAAATTAAAAAACTAGGAAGTTTTTTTTTGTTTGTTTGTTGTTGTTTTTTTTTTTTTTTTTTGGTTTTTCGAGACAGGGTTTCTCTGTGTAGCCCTGGCTGTCCTGGAACTCACTCTGTAGACCAGGCTGGCCTCGAACTCAGAAATCCACCTGCCTCTGCCTCCCAAGTGTTGGGATTAAAGGCGTGCGCCACCACCGCCTGGCAATAATTTATAATTACTGATTGCAAAGACATTGATGCAAGATGTCCCAAATATTGTCACAATGCATTCATTGCCGAACTTAAGAAATTCTATGTTCTAACCAGTTTATTCCAGAGCCAGGGTTTGTTTAGTAATATAAGATCTATCAGCATAGTGCTCGCTTCGGCAGCACATATGCTAAATTGGAACAATACAGAGATTAGCATGGCCCTGCGCAAGGATGACACGCAAATTCGTGAAAAAAGATCTATTAGCATAATTCATAATGGTAACAACATAGAGGAAAAATGATATGATCATATCAACAGGTGCTGAAAAGTATCTGATGACATTGCAAATGCCACTCCTTAAAAAATTGTATTTTAATTAAAGCAGTAATAGACTGGTAATAGAATGGCAATGGCAATGCAGGAAGATGGTAGCAAATTGAAGACTAGCCTAGGCTACTTGCATCCTTGTTTCAAAAAGGAGGCAAGAGGCTTTTATTTATTTATTTATTTTTAGACAGAGGCAATAGCTCAAGCTTATGTCAAATTCCCATTGAAGGGGATAATGACCTTGAATGTCTAGTGGTTCCAGTCAGCATCAACTTCCTGGAGTAACTGGGATCACAAGCGTGCACCATCACCATACCCAGTCTTATGTGGTCTTGGAAATTAATCCTGCTCATGTATGCTAGGCAAGCACTTTCAGGATGAGCTACATTCCCAGGCTTCTTTCTGCCTTTTGGGATGGGAGAGGTGGCCCTGGAGTTGAACTCAGGGCTTCACACAGGCTACATTTGTTCTCTGCCATTAAGCTGCACTTCCAACCAAAAACAGTTATAGGCAGTTAAGTAGCCAGTAGTGATTTAAGGAGAGAGTGAGTCAGGCACATAGCTCTTAGTATGACATACTATCACGTAAAATGTCTTGGGTTCAGTTTCCAACACTGAAAACTGAAAAGGGTAAGGGGATAGGGAACTCTGTATGCCATCGTCAGATATCAGAAAGCATACTCTAAAAATTAAAGTTAGACCAGGTCTGGGGAGATGACTCAAGGTTAAGAATGCACACCTGTGCTTGTTGCCCAGGACCCCCCCTGTAAGAAGGCTCACAAGTGCCTGTAACTCCAGCTCCAGGGGATCCAAACCTCTGGCCTCCTCAGACAGTGCACCCACGTACACAAACCCACAAACACACACCCACACACAGACAGACATGCATATACATCATTTAATTAATTTTTTAAAAATAAAAATTGAAGTTAGGAACCGGCACACACCTGCAATCCTAGTATTCAGGAAGCATAGCTCAGAGGATCCGGAGTTCCAGGTCAGCTGGCTTTGACAGTGAATTGGACTTAGGATTTGCTTAGAATGATAACGGGTACTATATGCATACACAACATTGTGACAGCCAAAACAAACTGTAACACTCAAGGCCTGGGAGGAGAATTATTATTAACTATGAATACATTCCTTCCCTATATGGATTAGGATTCTGGATGGGTATGGTGATTCACACTTGCACTCCGAAGGCTGAAGCAGGAGAAATACCACAAGTTTCAAATACAAATGAAAAAAATTAGAATCCTTACAGTTGTTGAAATCAGCTTCATCTAGTCAACAAATCTGTCTCAAAGCATTTACAAAATCTGGTCTCCGAAACTGAAGTCCCAGCTCAGGTGGCTTCTCCTCTAAGAGAACTCCCCTGCGCTCCACCCTCCAGCCCCTGACAATAGACCACTATCACCAACATACTCTCCCTTCTTGAAGCACAGGTCTACCTTGTGTGACTGCTTCTTTTGTGTCTGTTAAACTTGTGCCACAGACTCTGCTGCTTTCTTAAGTACGTACTCATGGTGCCTAAAATCCACAGAGGTACTTTGTAAACCTCAGTGCAGTGTGCATCAGCTTAACGTCGCTGGAAGGGAAGGGAATTGATGCTTGGCCACTGGAGAGCAGAGGTCAAAATGAAAGAACATGCTCAAGGAGTGGGTAACCCAGTACCACCCAAATTCACCCTTCAATCGTTCTTCAGAGTTCTTCCAACTTCTCAGGAAAAGACAAGCACACACAGGGCTCTGTGTATGATATACATTTATATATATATTCACTCTCATTTTATTGTACTTTATCCTCTTTTTACAGTAGATCTGACACAGGCATTAAATAACTGCAGAAGGAGACCACCGGGAAGATGAAGGGGCAGGAAGACCTGGATACCCAAAGTGGAAGAGACACAGATCCAGTTGGAGGAAAGGGGGAAGGATTTACTTGAGGGTGAGACGTGGGGGCTGCAGTGAAGAGGAGGGAGGTTAGGAAGGGTAAGAAGAAGCAGAGAGGCCAGAGGAAGAGGCTGCTGTGATGGACCAAAACTCGGAGCAGGGTGCTCTTTCTTAACATTCTAGGGACATTATAGGGGTTGTTTGTTTCTTTGTTTGTTTGTTTAAAGGCAAAAGAGTTTAAAGGAGGCGGGGCCAAGAAATTCAGAGCTGAGCTGGAGGCGGGTGTCTGAAGCTGTCAGGCTGGTATGCAGAAAGAGAAGACCTTAGTGACCAGTTAGCAACTTGCAAGGAGTAGCCAGAAAGAGGATGGGGGTGGGTAGATCTGAGCTCAGGGAGTCCCCCCAGCCAGCTGACGTTTCCAAGGTGGCCACTGGGGATAGAGCCAAGACAGCGGCCCCTCCCCCAGAGCTCCCTGGGAAGGAGAACTTGAAAGATATTCTGGGAAAGCCAGTGGGGGAAGGGAACCATCAGTTAAAAACAAAGTGGATATTCAGAGCAGGTCAAGCCCGCCTGAGTAGGAGCTGTTTGGATGACAGGAGGGACCAGGACGAAGTTAAAAGTCTAAGCCTACTAGAGAATTTTCTAGAAGAATTAAAGACTTCTCTTCCAGTCCTCCTTTGGAGTCACAATTGGAGGAGAAGCAGGATGTACTAGGAAGGACGGAAAAGGCCACAGAACCAACTTGTACTCAGCTACAAATGGCAGTTTTTCAGAGGGAGGGGTAAGGGAGAGGAGAGGACAGAACTGCTGGAGGAACCACCAAGTCAAAGCCACCAAGATACTGTTATGGTGACAGAAGTGTGAAGAGACAAGAGAAAAGTGGCTACACCGTTGAGAAGGGAGGGAAAACAGTTTTCACCCCTGGGAAGCAAACGGCTGAAACGGGAGAGGGGTATGTGGGGGTAGAGTCGGGGTAGATGGGACCATTTTCTAGAACTCTCAGAGGATGTGAGTAGAAATTGAAACAGGAGTTGTAAGGACATCTCATTCATAAACTCAAAACTAGACAATTCCAACAGTGCAGAGGCCCTTGTGCATGCTAGGCAAGTCCTCTGTCGCTGAGTCACAACTCCAACTCCCGAGTTAGAAAACTCCTGACTCCTCTCTGTCTCTGGCTCAGCTAAGGCTGGAAGATGTTGGAAATTGTGTGGACCTCAGGCGGGGTAAAGAAGCTGGGGAAAGGGTGTGAGGATCAGACAAGTCATAGCTCTGTTATAAAAAATACCTTTGGGGTGGGTGAGGGAGGGACCAGGCAGGGTCAAGGACATTCCAGAAGCATCCACAGGAAAGTGTGGGTGAGTGGGGGTGGGGAGCCTCAGGTTTTGTTGATTCGGAGTTTGAAGGCCACACGGCCAGCGAACTTGTCCCGCTCATCATCTGTGGCAATATTGACAGCGTTGATGCGGCATTCTACGTTCACCTCCACGTTGGGGGTCACATTCAGGAACTTCACAGCCACCAAGGGCTGTGTATAGTTTACCTAGGCCAGAAGAAGAAAAAGACTCAAGCCTCTGGTACCTTGGGCTCTTTCCCGAGAACCTCATTTTGTCATTCAGGAGCCACCATCAAGGACATTCCTCGGTGGGACTTACATGGAACTTTTTGCCATAGTAGGGAAAGTACATCAGGTCAATGTTGCCATTGGCAGGGAACATGACGAAGTGGCCAAGATTCTCAGCATCTTCATCTCTCTGTGGGGGTGCAAGAAGGTTAAGGGGAGAGGATATGAGGAACAGCAGGCACCTGGAAGAGCTCACAAGACTTCCCTCGTACCTCCTTCATCCCAAATTATCCCTGTCAAATTTGTTTTCTTTGAGCTGTGCATCTGCTCAGTAGCTGTGTGTGTGTTTGTGTGTGCGCGCATGCACACATGTTCGTATCTGCATGCCTCCAGAGAGGGGTCTGCCATCAGACTAGATCTTCTAAGTGTACTGACAACACTGTGGGGACCTTCTACTCCACCATCAACCCCAAGTTCTTACCCCATCCTTGGGAATCGGTCTCTGGAGCAGAGCCAAGAAAGAACAGATAAACAGTCAAGGCTCAGTAGGAAGGAAGAGGGAAACTGCTGGGGGAGGGAGGGCAGAGTTTCTAGAGAGGACAGAGTCGGGTACAGGGTTCCAAGGACAGCTACTTGTAGCAAATGATGCTAACGAATCAGCAGATAGCAGACTTCTAAAGGGAACTGAAAATCAAGGCATTATGGGAGAGTGGAAGAAACACAGATAACTGAGTCGTAAGAGGTCGACAGGGAAGGAACCAGAGGCCAAAGCTCTGGTGCAGGAGGGGATGGGTCTATCTCCAGGAGAGCAGGCTCTCTGTATTATCCTAGAGAGAAGCAAAAGGGCTAAAAAGCCTCTTAGAACTAAAACTGCACAGAAGCCCAGTCTTACCCCCTTGTCACTATAGTGTTGGGGCCTCTGAAAGCACAAAAAGACAGGGAGGTATGGGTGAAGCACTCAGAAACCAGGAAGCATAACCAAGTGGGCAGGTAGGGAGGACCCACACACTCACCTTCCCAGCACAGGTGACGTTCATGCTCTGGTTTGCCCCTGCATAGAAGTTGATGACCTAGAGAGGGTGGATTTAGAAGAAGTTACCACATCTTGGTGTCGAGCCTTTCAGCTCCAGAGCTTAGCTTCCAATAGCTCCACCTCTTAGAATAAACTACCAAAAATCTCTTTAATGCCCATTAACCCCAATGAAAGGACACATTAGTTAACAGATGGTGGCCCAGCTCCCTCCTCAATCCTCCCTGAGGACCAATGTCATGGGTACCCGGTTCATTTTGATGAAGACGCAGGGCTGCCCGGTGCTGTAACCATAGTGGGTAGGGTCCCCAATGCCAGAACAATTGCCCAGCTGGGTCCGGTTGAACTGGCAGGCACGTTTTGGATAGTTCAGAACCCCGTTATCTGGTTGTTCATAATATCGCCCAGGACGGCAGACGTCATTCTTTTGAGCTTGGATGGAGTCGTTGTAAGCTAGGCAGTGGGAGGGAGACAGAGAAGGTCAGAGGCCTGAGGTTTCACTTCTGGGGTCCAGGATTCCTTCCCCCAAGGTCCTGGACTAGCCCCACACTCACGTTCCAAGAACTTGTTGAGCTTCTGAACATGCTGATCCCAGCTTTCGGTGTCACTAATGTTGACAATGACATCAAGGTTCTCAGTCTTGGGTCGAATCATCAAGCCTAGAGCCAACATGAGTGAAGACTGGGGGTCACATATAAGATGAAGGGAACACATCAAGGGAAGAAGATAGATATGAAGATCACCAGGGTCAGGTGGGGGCAAAGATCTGAAATTGCCCTCCTGGGAGGGCAATCTCCTGTGGCAGCTGCCACACATGACTCCCGGCTGCAGGGCATGGGAAGGAAGGACCAAGTTCAAGAACTCCTTATCAAACTCCTGAAAAGAACTGTAAATTCCTTGTGAGGGCTTAAAGACACAGCAGTTCTAGTGACTGGTAAAGGGAGGCTCTTCTCTCACCTGGTGTGGCCAGTCGGTCCTGGTACTTGGGGGTATGGTCAGAGACAGTCTGCAGCATTACCCACATGGTGAGGGTGAACATGGCGGTAAGGAAGCCGTAGAAGACGAGGTAGAAGAGGAGGATGAAGGCTAGGGGAGAGGAACTAGAGTCAGCAGCTTCTACATCTCCCTTATAAAAGCTCACCCAACCCATCAACCTCACTCATCCTTCTTCCTCTCAAGCTGTGTATTGGGATAGGCCAAGGAGCAACAGGATATCTTAGGGCCTTCCCCTGGGAGCTAAAGGAAACAAGCTGGAAACAGGCAAGGCCCAGCTCCAGCACTGACTCCCAGACTCCTCCTGGGGCACGGTGAAGTCCGACCTTTTGGAGGCCACAAGAGACCTAAACTGTAGTTGTTGTGACAGTTCCAAGAATAGGCCACTGTCATTTTGCATCTAATACATTTCCAACTTCTCAGCCATGCATGGTCCTGAAAAGGCACAGCATCTGTTCCTGCTGTATTGGAACAGAGCTGTCTTAGCACAGGAATCTGTAACCTGGTTCTGGACACCATTCCCAGCCAAATTCTTACCACCTCAGAGCCTAGACTCCCAGGACTCCAGTATCAATATCTGTCTGTCTGTCTATCTGTCTATCTCTTTCTCTCCTGAGGAATCAGCTCCTGAAATGAGGGGCTAACGGCCCAGCAGTCACCTCCACCTTTAACTCACACAAGATCTTGGCCAAAGTCATGGAAAAGACAGAAGCCTAGAAGCCTTCCCTGGACATCATCCTCCTGACTCCTCTCCTAGGCCTCGTGTGAGGAGGACATGCTGTTCCAATCACCCTGAACTATCAGTCTTTCCTCCTAAGAAGACGCAGTTCCTCTGTGAAGGCTCCTGAGTATCTCAAGCATTCATCCATTGATCCTTCACACCCCACAGAGTCTTTTACTCCTTGAGGACATGGTCTGCACTGACCTCCTTTCATGGTCCCCCAAGCCTCAGGTGGGTGGTCTGATGAAGACTGTGTCCAATCAATGTGAGTATATTGTAAATTATGTCACACAGAATTCCTTGTGCTTCAATTCTCTAGCTTGGCATTGTCTTTTGCAAGAATGTCATCCTTACCTCACAGGGTACCCATCAGCAGCCCCTGACTACATAAAAGTCCTTGCACACCCCTGAGGTAAGGGTAGAGAGTTCCTCCAAGGCATCTGAGTCCCATGTAAACACCCTGCCGGAGGATGTACCCATCTCAGCACTGTGACCATTTCTCCCTCCACCTCTGACATCTGAAAATGTCAAGCCTAGAAAAGTATCATCTGTCCTGGCAGCCCCCCACCCACGAAGCAGCCACAGAGGGCTCCAAACGGCCAATGGTGGAAGACAGACAAACAACTTCCGCTGTTAAGAACGCCCCCCCAAGCCCCCCTGCCAGATCCGCCTCCTCATGAATGTTCCCAGGGTCCAAGGGGGTGGGTGAGAGCTAAAAATAAACGAGGTTGGCTAGCTAGTGAGAGCCAGGGGGAGAGTTAGGGCACTCTTCGGGGAGAGGGATGATGACCGTGTGCAACCGCAGGGCCTGAGCCGGAGCGGGAGCGCCGTGGCACGGACACGCGCGCAGAGCCCGCGACCCCCCGCCCGAGGGGGCTCCGCGGGGGGCGGGCAGGCGGCAGTGACCTACTTTCTCCGCCTCCGCAGAGGCCAGTCAGAGAGATTAGACCGCTGATTCGGGCCCCTCCCGATCCAAAGCCCGACAGTGGGGGCTGGACGCCAGGGACCCGGCAGGAGAGCTGGGGCGACGCCCGCGGGACCCTGCGCCCCAAAGGCGTCGCCGAGCGGTCAGCTACCACCTTTCCGGCGCCATCCCCGCGTACCCCAGCTAGTCCCGGTGCGCCCCATGAACTGGTGCGTCCGCGGGTTCCACACGAACTCCTTCCACTCCTCAACCACCTGCCCGCAGCTCTTCTTCTCTTTCTGGATGACCATCTTGGAGGCACGGGGCGAGTCCCGGCGCGCTGCTAGGGGCTGCGGAGAAGCCCGGGCGTCGCGCGCTGAAGCCCTCCACGCACCGAATGCGCGCGGGAGCGAGGCGAGGGAGACTCCAATCAGATATGCAGCTGCTGCAAATTCCGGGGTGCACAGCCACGCGCTGTGGTCTGCTGGCAGTGCGGCGGAGGTGCGCCGAAGCTAGGCCCCCCGACTGCGATAGAAAGGGGGCTGTCAAAACAGGGAAAGATAACCAGGGGAAGGAATACCAAGGCACCTTCACCCCACACACCGCCTAGAAGCAAAACAAAAAGGGGTGCAAAACCAGACGGCTCCAAAATTCGAGCGAAATGCAGAAAAAGCGGGGTGCAAAGAAGCAGGGAAAGATGGGGGAGGGAGCCGCCCCGAAATCCGAGATGCAAAGAGGCTGTGGAACGCGGCAGGTGGCCGATTAAGGCTCCTCCGACAAACGGCGACAGCCACACCACAGTTGGCCCAGCCAGTGGGAGCTGGGGCGGGGACGAGCAGTCGGGCGGGGGGGGGGAATAGGCAAGGATAGGGGCCCCCCAATCGGAGGCTCCGCTCCTCAGCAGTGCGGGGAGCGCGGTCCCAGCGCACAGTCTTTATACTCTGTGACTCTGAGGGTGTCCGCCCCCTTCCCACCCACCCCCCCAGGAACCCCGCCTCTTCGTTGCTCGCCCAGGAGACCTCATACATATGCAAATACAGAGGGGGATTGGACCCGCCCCCTGGTGCGTCTTTTGGTCCTAGTCGGCTTTTCGTTACCCCAGATCCCAGGTACAGTACTGAAACTAGGTGGGAAAAGAAGACAGAGGGTGAGTCTGGGTAGAGTTGAAAAAAAAAATCACCCCCTGGAGGCTCAAACCTAAAGACAAGCTGATACGCACTCAAAAGTGGGGGGCTCGGGGCAGGGAATTTAAAAAGAGACTAAGAGTTACTTCGAAAGCCTCCGGAACAGAGGGTAGAATGTGAGAGGAATAAAGAAAAGCAAGCGCCAGACACCAAGAAAGAGCCTAAAAACTAGAACACAGAGAAGGATAGAAGCCACCACAGGACGCCGTTCTTCTCGGTTCCTTCTAGGTTCCTTTGTCCAACCTACCTGTTCTCCATGATCAGGGACTCTGCCACCTTCCCAAACTTGTCTGAGGCTCCAGAATTTCCCTGCGTCCCTAATCCTAGTTCTACAGCCAGGTCTGCATATGTCCTGCCTCCCAGCCCCCACCGACAGGTCTATCTTTGCTGGAACATTGGCTGCTGCTCTGAGGAAGCCCTTAGACTGGGGCCATTATCTTTACTTCTTTCTGTGGCAGGAGCACCATGGCCCATATTTATAGAAATTGATTCTCTTCTTCTACCGTGTGGGTTCTGTACACAAGGCTGGCCTTGAAGGGATGCTCCTGCCTCTGCCTCCCAAATTCCGGATTTATAAAAATATGCCATATTTTATTATTCTTGGTGGTGATAGTAGTGTGTTTTGTTTGTTTGTTTGTTTTGTTTTTTGTTTTTCATTTCTTGAGACAGGATCTTATTTATCCCAGGCTGGTCTGGAACACTGGTCTGAAGTAACCAAGGATTATTTGAATTCCTAGTTCTCCTGCTTCGACTCCTGAATACTGGGATTGCAGGTGTGTACCATCATATCCAGCTCCAGGGTTGCCTTCCTCTGCTGAAATTACAGGTGTGCATGACTATGTCTGATTGTAATTTTAATTTTACTCCACGTATCATGGAAGTAATTCTAGCATTTTAAACTGTGAAATGCATAATTAAATTCAATGAATGTACCAGGCATGGTGACCAGATCTGGATTGATTGAGGTCAGGAGTTGAAAGTCAGTTGGGACAGCATAACTAGACCCTAACTCAGAAAAAGAAGAAGAGGGAGAGGAAGAAAAAGAAGAGGAGGAAGAGAAAGAGGAGGAGGAGGGAAGAAGAAGGGGAAGGAGAAAGAAGAGGAGGAGAAAGAAGAGCCAGATACCTTAATCCATGCTGGTAACTCAAACTGAAGGTGTGAGGATAACACTTGAAGCCAGCCTGGCCTAATAGAGAAATCTCGTTGCAAAAATAAAGCCAATGCGTGTGTGTGTGTGTGTGTGTGTGTGTGTGTGTGTGTGTGTGTGAGGGTGGGTGTCATCCTGGGGGAATTGGAGAAGAATGTGAGAAGATATTATTGAAATACATTGTAAAGATTTATTTATTTATTATATATGAATACACTGTAGCTGTCTTCAGACACACCAGAAGAGGGCATCAGATCTCATTATAGATGGTTGTGAGCCACCATGTGGTTGCTGGGATTTGAACTCAGGACCTCTGGAAGTGCAGTCAGTGCTCTTAACCACTGAGCCATCTCTCCAGCCCCCGAAATACATTGTATATGTTCAAAAGATTTTCAAAAAATAAATACAATGTTAGATATATTACCCTTATGGCACATAATTCCATATACATGTGTGTGTGTGTGTATGTGTGTGTGTGTACATGCATGCAACTTGCACGGCCACAAGAAACAAGGCCAATTTGGACACATTAGAGCATGTAAGTATTCTAGGTAAGAGAGGCAACTGACTTGAATAGGGATATCAAGGTGGAAGATGGGAGATATGAGAATGAGTTAAAAAACCTATTTCAGAGGTAGGACGAGTAAACAACAGGGATAAGGCAAAGCAAGGGGCCAAGGCTGCCGCCTGAGTTTTTCTCGTGAGCACATGGATCATGAACTTACTTGTATGCTCTGTCTCTGTCATTACATTGTAAACTTCCCCTCCCCCATCCCAGTGCTGAGGCCCAAAACCCAGGGCCCTAAATATAATTGGCAGATACTCTACCAGTGAGCTATCTTCCCCACCCTAGACTCTATGCTTTTTGAGAGTCGGCCTTTATCTAAACGAGATAATGCTGGTTACTGAATTCAGCTTAAACATGGAAGGGCTTCTTCTGTAAGAAATCCCAGGAAAGCAGCTTGATCTCTCCAGTGAAAGAAGAAGAACACTAAAATGGACACACACACACACACACACACACACCAGGGCAAATACAGCCTATGGTGGCCTTCAGCTTCTTGTCTCAGGTTCTACCCTGGGCACCAGGCTCACTTTCTTAGAAAAGAGAGGGTAAATACCTTCTGGGCACTAGAGATAGGTCACCAAGTAGGATGCCTGTTGTTCCCGTTCTTATGTCTTCTGTAGGTAAGGAGGGAGTGGATGGGAGGGAGGAAGGAGTTCTGTATCATGTGTGACCCGTCCTCAGAGGGAGACAAGGTGAGAAAGGGGAGATCCAGAAGAGCCTGTAATAGACCTAGGGACAAACCTTCAGGCTGGGGCTGTAGCTTATAGGTATGATGCTTTCCTCTATGTACAGAGCCCTGGCTTCAATCCCAAGCAAAAGGGGAGCAAGAGGAGAAAAAACTCTTCTTTTGGAACCTGCCTCCGTCCAGGATCTCCAGAGAGGAAGAAGGAGATAGACGGCTGTCCCAGAAGCAGAGACTGTCCATAATCAAAGGTCTAGCTATGCTCCCTTGTGTCCTCCTAATTCCAGGATATGTATGTGTGTGTAGTGTGTGTGTGTAACGAGTGTGTGTGTAGTGTGTGTGTAGTATGTGTGTGTATGTGTGTAGTGTGTGTGTATGTAGTGTATAGTGTGTGTGTGTGTAGTGTGTGTATATGTAGTGTATAGTGTGTGTGTGTGTGTAGTGTGTGTATATGTAGTATATAGTGTGTGTGTATGTGTAGTGTGTGTGTGTAGTGTGTGTGTGTGTATGTAGAAGTCAGAATACAACGTGTCAGTTCTCACCACACATTTTATGTAAGCCCTAGGAATGAAACTCAGTCAGCCATGCTTGGTAGCAGCTTGGTACCTGCTGAGCCATCCAGCCCTGAGTCCAGGATTTAGATGAATGAGTTAAACAAGGTGGAATTTTGCAAAGACAAAGACTAGGAAAGCTCAGTCTTTGCAAGCTGAAAGGAACCTTCTGGTGCCGCTCACTGGGAGAGCACTTCCCTTGCATGCATGAGGTACTAAGGCTGCTCCTTAGCACTGAAAAAAAAAAAAATTCTGTGGCTGGATAGTGGTGGTGTTTATGTAATGTGTAAATGTCCTTTATGCTACTCAAATGACACTTTTGATAATGGTTAGAATGGTGATTTTTAGTTGCTTGTATTTTATCTCAACTAAAACAAAACAAAACAGTTAGATAAAACAGAACCGTTCTGCACTGACCAGATGGAGCCCAGACTCTCAGCAGGACACACCAGGCCTTTCATCACATGACCCAAGGAGCCTCCTCCAACCTACCTTCTTCCCATCTCCTGCCCAAGGCTCAACCCCATGACATCCCCTCCCTCCCCTTGTTCTCTAGACTTAGCAGCTTCATATTTACTCATCAAAAACCAAACGGGACTTAAATTAAAAACAAAACAAACAAACAAAAAAACAATCGAACTCTCATCTTGAGCACTTTTCGTGTGCCAAGCACTATAGTAGACGTTTTTGCCTAAATGGTTGTATCAAATCTTTAGAGCACCCCCAGAGACAGAGGAAAGCTGATGTCTGTAAGTTCAGTACCAGCCTGGTCTATCTAGTGAGTTCTGGGACAGCCAGAGTTACAGAATTAAACCCAGTCTAAAAATAATGGTGGGGACTGAGAGTTCCAGTCATTTGTTCAACTTCGCGCATCTAATAGCTCATCCCTGTCAGGAAATTAGTATCTAGGTTCCCCAGTGTCCCAGAGATGTCAGTGATTTGTGGGATTCTGTTTCCCTTCCTTCCTTCCTTCCTTCCTCCCTCCCTCCCTCTCTGCCTTCCTCCCTCCCTCCCTTCCTTTACTTTGGTTTGTCCTGACAGAGTTTCTCTGTGTAGTCCTGACTGTCCTGGAACTCGATTTGTAGACCAGGGTGGGATTAAAGGTGTATGCCACCAGGTCCAGAGTTTGTTTTTCCCCTTTAGCTCTTCCTATTAGGGGCTGGGAATGCATCTCCATGTTAGAGCACTCTCAGCAGACCCATGGTCCTAGATAAAAGTGGGGCACAGAAGTGATCTATATAGTGAGTTCAGGCCAGCCAGAACTATATGGTAAAACCCTGCCTGGAGGGAGGGGGAAGGAGCAGAAACATAAAGAAAGCATATTGCAGCCTAGAAATGTAATTCAGTTGGTAGAGTATTTGCCCAGTAGGTATAGTGCCCTGGCACTGTATAAATCATCTGCTATGGCGGTGCACACTTGTAGTCCTAGTGCTCAAAGGGTGGACACAGGAACATCAGGCATCCACAGGTCATCTTCAGTTGCACAGAATTGGAAGCCAGCCTGGCAGTGGTGGCACACGCCTTTAATCCCAGCATTTGGGAGGCAGAGGCAGGAGGATTTCTGAGTTCGAGGCCAGCCTGGTCTACAGAGTTAAGTTCGAGGACAGCCAGGGCTATAAAGAGAAACCCTGTCTCGAAAAACAAAAAGCAAAACAGAATTGGAAGCCAGTTTGGGTAACAAGAAACACTGTCTCAAAAAAAAAAAAAAAAGTTGTGTTTTTTGTTTCTTTGTTTTAAATAGCTTTTACAAATGTATCTCTCTCAACACCCAGGGG